GGATGGGGCAAAAATTCCTACTCGGCGGGAGGGGTGGGGGAGGCACTGCAGAGTGGTGGGGGGTGGCCCGAGGGGCTGGGAGAGGGTCCGGCCCACACTGTGCCTGGGCTGGGACTGGTCCTGCCGGCGTAGGGTAGCAGGAAGCTCTCTGCACACTCCTCTTTTTGTCTTTTTAAGACAAGGTCTTGCTATGCAGCTCAGGCTGGCCTTGAGCTCACTTTGTAGCCCAGGCTGGTCTCAAACTTACAATTATCCTCCTTTCCCAGCCTGTCCCAGTGCTGAGATAATAAGTATGTGCTACCACACTTGGCCTTAGCAACTCAATTTTAAGATGTTCACTGTCAAATAATTGAATTCCTAATAAGTGCAGGCTCTGTAATTGAAAAATGAATATATATATATATATATATATATATCATTGTTACTATTAATCATCTTATCAGAGAGAAGTAGAAAAAATATGAATAAGTAGTTTGTAGGATCTTTTGTTCTTCCTCTTATGCATTGTTACTCATTACTGCTATTCTTAATGTTTTGCCAGGTCTCCATCCAATCCCACCCCAAGGAGGAAAACTGGAAATTGCTGGGATGGTGGTAGGCCAGTGGGCTGGCAGTGGATCCTCCAGGGGCCGAGGATCCTTTGGCATGCAAGTGGTTTCTGTCGGTGGGCCAGGAAAGGGGTATGTTTTTCATTGAGGTGTTACAATCTGGTGTCAAAGTGTCCTTGGGAAAAAGAGGGATTAACCAACTTTCTGTATTTAAAGGCATTTTTCAGTTTAGTTTAGTAAGCAAAATAAGTACCCTTTCTTAATGCAAAAGTCTTGTATAGAAGGGATCAGAAACACAGACCAATTAAGTATAACAGAAATGACAGAAGCTCACATAGTAACACTGAGAAGGGGCATTTAACTTAGCAAGATCAAGCTTCTGAGAGGGATAAATAATTGAAGTAGAAATGAAGGAATAGATACTGCCTCTCATCATTTTTTTCTCCAACTTTCTAAAGGCATGGAAAAGAACAGACTGGTAGAGGGCCTAAAGGACACAAAAAAGGAAATAAACAAGTAAGTACCTTTGTTTTTGAGATTATCCAGCTTCTGTTTGATGCCTCTTTCCTTTTCAGCATATCAGAAGTGGAATCCTGTACTACTTGGAGGAGCTCTCATGCCTTCTCTAAGCATTTGATTTCTTTCTCCTTCTCTCGAGAAGTGTAGTGAGGACTAGACTGCCCAGAACTGTTGCCAGAGGCTGTGAAGTCTCAGTCCTTACCCCCAAGTCCTTATCCCAAGATAGACAGTGAGTACAGTGCTCTGAAGACCTGTGCCTAGCGTAGTATTTCCTGCATGCAATCAGAAAGGAGTCAGAGTGAATCTAGTAGTGAGATTACCTCCAACCTGCCTGACATTCTGAGGGGCTGCCCAAAATGCTTAGAAAATCAATTTTTGCTTTTGCCACATCTGGAGCAGTGAGATAGCATTGCCCTTCTGTTTATTCTTAAAGATTTAGAAGAGTATTACACTTTCTCCTAGTCTGTATTTTGAATTTTATTGAGTCTATATTATATATCTCCCCTCAAAAAATAGCAGACTATGAAGAACTGTTCTTGTAGAGATTGGGGCTGTGGATGTAGGTCAGTCTAGCATCTTCAAGGCCCTGGGTTTAATCTCCAGCACTTCAAAAAAAAAGGGGGGCATTTAAAATTTTGCAGTAGACCCAAATTGCTGGACTCTTATTACCGGTTCCTATTTCTTCTCTCTCCTTTTCTTTTCTTTTCTTTTCTTTCTTTTTTTTTCTTTCTTTCTTTCTTTCTTTCTTTCTTTCTTTCTTTCTTTCTTTCTTCTTTCTTTCGTACTGAAGATTAATTACAAGGCCTCCATTCTGAGCAATGTCTTCAGTCTATTTTTTTATTTTAAGAGAAGGTCTTGCAAATTGTCCAGGATATGCTCACACTTGTGATCCTCCTGCCTCAGCCTTCCAGAGTTCTAGGATTATAGGCATGCACCACCATGCAACTTTCTTTTTCTTTTAAATCAGAGTTTCACTAAATAGCCCAGGCTGGCCTTCACATCATGACACTCCTGCCTCAGCCACCCAAGTACTGAGATCACAGGCTTGTGCCACCATGATCGGTTTCTAAGGACCATTTCTTGAGTGTCTCCTTTCTACCAAACCTGCACTACTAGACATTTTACATGCACTCTTTTTAAACACATCTTTTTAAATTATTTTGTTTTCCTTTTTAAATTAATTTTATTGAGAAACAAATAACAATGAGACAGTCTTGTGTATTTGGTACAGGGTCTCACCACACATCTTGGACTCGTAGTGATCCTCCAGTTTTCAGCCTCCCCAGCGCTGGAATTACAGGCATGCACCACCATGCCTGGACTCCGTTGCTGGCTAGTGTGCCCCGGGGGCAGGGCCGGCACAGTGTGGTCCCTGCAATTGCCAAAGCAGGCACTTACTCCGCTGAGATATCTCACAGGCCCTTACATACACTCTTTAATAATAGGCAGTTTGGTCAACAGTTTTAAGTTATAATCCACTTTCCTATAATAGCACTAGCTTCCATTGAATCCATGCTTTTACCTTCACTGTTTAACATTTTCTCAAAGAATACAAATTTACTTTAATGTTATTTTATTTATGTATGTATTTATTTATTTATTTTTGTGGAACCAGGCATTGAACTCAGGCCCTTGCGCTTGCCAGGGAAGCACTTATTCCACTGAGCCATCTCCCTGGCCCCTTTAATGTTATTTTGAGTCAAAAGTATAAATAGAAAAGTAAATCTTATACACAAAGCATTTTATAATGTACTCCAAAGCTAGAGAGTAGTAACTTTGTGAATTTTCTAAAGCTTCTCAGCTTCTTCTAAAAGCTGCCTGGAAAGTAAAAAGGATTATAAAAAGGATTGCATCTAGAAGGAAAAAAAATGAGCCAGGTAGGTTCCCATAAGTTGGTACACTCATAGCAAATTTATGATGATTCAGGTCTGGTTTTCAGGCATACAGCCTGAAAAAAACTTCTATTTTTAGTACTGCAAGTAGTTTAGATACATCTATATCTAGTTGACTCACACTAACAAAGAACATAGAAATAGTTATGTGGTTATGGTTGGGGATTAATTTACTCTTTAAATTATTTATTATTTGGTCCTCTCGGCCAGGGAGATGGCTCAGTAGAATAAGTGCTTGCCTGGCAAGCACAAAGGCCTGAGTTCAATCCTCAGTTCCACCAAAAAAAAAAAAGGCAAAATATTTGGTCCTCTCATATAAGAGAAACCATATTATATGGTTTCTGTGTCTGCTTTGTTTTACTAGGCATTGTCATGTAATATGGTATCTTTAACTCTTTTGGGAAAATAACCCAGTGGAGGTATAGCTGGGTTGAATGGAATTTCTATTTTTATTTTTTTTCAAAGTTTTATTGATAAACAGATAGCAATGAGACAGTTTCAAATCAAATTGGAAATACAGTTTCAACAAATAATACACTGCATATATTCTTCTTAGTGGTTAATTGCTGTACAAGATGTGGACTTGTGATCCTA